GTACTTGCTCCCTCTGGGGTCTATTTTTCGCAAATATAACGTGTCATACAATTTTTATGCTGAAGACATTCAGGTCTATCTTCCATTAAAATCTAACAGATCCCAGTCTGTAAATAGGTTACTTGAGTGCTTAAAAGATGTGAGAGCATGGATGGACCTGAACTTTCTTTATCTTAATGATAAAAAGACAGAAGTCATTTTATTCGGCAACTCTGATAAACTGACAGGATGCAGTAGTGCTGTTGGACCACTGGACCCTTTGTCTGGCCGTGTGTCTGTTAGAAATCTTGGGGTGTTTTTGGGTTCTGATTTTAAATTTAAAGAACAGGTCAGTGCAGTAGTCCAGTCTAGCTTTTATCATCTGAGACTTATAAGTAAAGTCAAGGATTACCTGCCTCATAATGCACTTGAGAGGGTAATTCATGCTTTTATCACTTCTAGACTGGACTACTGCAACTCTCTTTATTGTGGGATGGATCAGTCTTTGGTTCGTCGTCTACAGCTGGTTCAGAACTCAGCTGCCCGTTTATTAACAGGGACAAGACGTCGCGAACACATCACTCTGATGTTGTATTCTCTTCACTGGTTGCCTGTTTCTTTTAGAATGTTTTTAAGATTCAGTTTTTAGTTTTTAAATGTCTAAATGGTAAAAGGTCTGGGCTTGTGACCAGGGGAGACAGAGCCTTTTCAGCTGCAGGACCTCGGCTCTGGAACAACCTCCCACTGTCTGTGAGGTCTGCTGGGTCTCTGAATGAGTTTAAGTCTCTGTTAAAAACTCATCTGTTTAAACAGGCTGAAGAGCAGGATCATTAGGCCAGCCTTTGTTTTGTTTCATTTTATTCTTCATTTTATTACTGTACTTTGTTCATTGTTTTTATTTTATGCTCCTGTACCTTTGATTTTTATTGTGCTTTATAAAAAACGATGATGATGATGATGATGATGATGATGATGATGATGATGATGAAAAAATCAAAACTATACATTATCTGCAGCATTGTTCACTAAAATGGCACCATTGATGTATTAAAATACACATACAGTAGGCACACTTCATGATATTGTAGACCATTAGGGAATACATTAAGCATGTACTTTTACTTTCAATACTTTAAGTATTTTCAAAAGCAAGTACTTACTTACTTTTACTCAAGTAAAATGTTAATGTGGTACTTTTACTTTTATTAGAGTACATTCTTGTCTGTTTATCTGTATTTTTACTTAAGTACAGTGTTTGAGTACTTTCTCCACCACTGGATAAAACTGATTGTGATGAAGTATAAAACATTACTTTACATTTATAAACACCTAAATCACATCTCAGAGTGACAGCGTGTCAAATCATTGTTCTTTATAAAACACAACGTGTTTTTATACCTTTGATTAAAAATAATGGTTATGTAAAATAAAATCTTATACGTGGAACATGCTACCAGTTTCTGACAGCTGCAGAAGTGTTTTAAAATGTTCACAAAACAAATACAAAAAAAAGCTAGTTTTACTTCCCTGACTTGGTTTCAGTGAATGCTACTCTTTTCTGACCACAAAAATATAACAATACATGCCTCATGGTAATTTTGACAACTTAAGAACGTTTTAAATACTATCATTTTTTTTACATGAAATGAGAAAATAAACTTGTCAAATAAGTTTGTAAAGAAAAAAATTCATGAGAGTAAATTGAACAGGTGAGAGAGCATATTCTTTCAACTGGACACATTTTATAGCACTAAATTATACAAAATATAGTTTTAAAAAATTATCTGGAAATACTAAAAAGTCTATGATTATTTATTTAGGTTCAAACCTAAAATGCTCCACCAGGAGGCTGAGAATCATTTGTCCGGTGTGAGTTCTCCCGCCAGCAGGGGCGCACCTGAGCACAATCCTTCCTTTCAACTCCAGAAGAAGAAGTGATTTCCTGTTAGCGTCTTCTGTTAGCATTCTCCATCCTGCATCACAACCACTTCAAACGGGTAAGTCGACGTGCGACATGTCGTATTCTTTACGGAGATTTTCTCTACTTCATTTACTCTTTCTACGCATCATATAGTTACACATTTCTGGCTACAGTAACACAAAAACGACGATTTCCGCGTGTATAACCCGCCTCCTCAAAGATGATTGGCTGCGAGACATCCCTGCTAACGGTTAGTGATTTGTGATTGGATGATTACTCCTGAGCGTCATGTCGTCATCAGTTACATGACGAAGACGTACGCGGTCAAGGAGTAAGTTTTCTTATTTTTAAAACTGAAACGTGTAGTTTAGTCATCATAATTGAATTGAAACATAATGTTTACAGTTTATGGTTGTATTATTTAAGACAGAGGGGCACAGTGGATCAAACATGACTGAACAGGTCAGCGTCAGGACGGAGTTTTTGCTCCCTGCTGTCTGTCTGCTCCTCAGGGTGAAGTTAACTTAATCACAGCTCAAACAATCAAATATGGTCTTTAGGATCATGCCATCTAATTGTTTTCTAACTGTAGCTCCATATAAATTATTAACATGATTATAGTGCCTGCTATCATACAGACATGGAGTAAAAACTGGAAAACTATGAACTATTTGACTTTTTCCTTTAAAACTCAGTATTTTAAACATTGTTTTATCCTCCCAGTGGTGGTAAACATACTCAGTTTACTTCAGTATTACTGCATCTAAATTATACTCCATTATACCTTTAAGTTTTATTACACTGGGTAAATAAGGAAGTACTTTATATATGTTTGTGTCAGGCCATGAAGCTCTTCATATAAAAATCTGGTTTTGTTTTTTAAATATTGTCTTTGTTAATATTCAGATCCTTACTGATCAAACTTATACCTTATTTTATTATGGTTTTAATTGTACAGATATTCTCCTAGTTAAATAACCTAAAAGTTTATGGTTTTGGTTAGTTTCTCCTATAAATCCTCACATTTTAAAAGCTGTGAAGTTTAAAAGAAGAATTTTAAATTTAAACAGGAGTTGTGAAATTGTATTTTTATATGTTTAAAATCTATTAAATTATATATATTTTCAGTTAGTAATCTTATTACTCCAGTTCAAAGTTTGTTTTAAATGTTTCCAGGTATGTTTTAGGTCTTTATGTTTTGTCTGTTGACATGTTTTATTTATTTAAAGCACATTAGAGGTTTTAGTGACACAGACAAATAAATGTAATTTAATAAACATTAGAAGCAACAGATCAGAATTGAAAGCTCAAACATACATGTTATAAGTATAATAAAATGTAATAAATACATTTACACTCTTTTTCAATTTGGTAAGTGTCCAAACTTAGTAAAACATCACCGAATGTTTGAACTAACTGTCATATCATGAGACAAATTATCTAACAGGAAGTATTTTTTTTTGTCTTTTCTATTGTTCCCCTAAACTTTGACAGTAGATTTTATTGATACATTTAAAACATTTAAATTTATAAACATGGTTTAATCTAATTGTTAGAGTTGTTGATACGTGTTTTATACCATTGTACTTCAATTTTCTATGCTTTTTATATTTTAATATGCACATTTTTGGTATTTGTAATAAAAAATTTCTTGCTTTTATTGTGAAGCACTTTGTGTTTTTATATCTCTGTAAGATGCTGTAGAAATAAAGATTTGTGATGCTGTTTTTGCTCTGTGCAGCTCAGACACACAAACTATTCATCATTTATTCTCTCTTTTCCTCCTTTTTCTGTTCGTCTCTTCTCTGCTCTTCGCTCTCCCTCCAAGATTCTCTCTGGTAGGAAACAGATAATGAAGGCGAGGAGGACCTGAGCTTCACTGACAGGTTCTGTGCTCCACGTGGATCCATGTTGATGTGAGCGTCCCCCAGTGTCCACATGGGGACATCTTGTGGTTCCTTTATTAAAGTATCAAACATAACAGGTGGAGTTTATAATTGAACAGTAAACAGGTGGAGTTTATAATTGAACAGTAAACAGGTGGAGT